ATGCTGGAGATCTCATGATAGCATTTTGCTAGACCAGTGACTTCTTGGTTGCAAATACCTTTTTTAAACAACATAAAAGATGACTGTACACATGGACCTCACTAGGAATCAAATTGGCTACATCGGTAGGAAGAGCTGGTAGAAAAACTCCTTATCATCAACCAAAACAAGGCCAGGGGCAGACTGTGGAACAGACCATCAATTGCTCATATGCAAGTTCAAGCTGAAGCTGAAGAAAATGAAAACAAGTCCACAAGAGCCAAAATATGACCTTGGACATTTCCCACCTGAAATTATAAATGGTGTCAAAAACAGTTTTGATGCATTAGACACTAATGATCGAAAACCCACCACCCATTCTGTGGGGAAACGATGAGGCTATCTGCTCCCATAAAGATTTACAGCCAAGGAAATCCTACAGAGCACTTCCACTCGGTCTTAGAGGGTCCCTGTGGATCTGGATTAACTCAACAGTGGCAGATTTGCTATTGATTTGGTACCATTATTAGTTTTTATGTGTAATAAATATATAATAAAATAAATCTTTTTTATTCTGTACGCATGTATTATATCTGTAGACAAACAAGAAAACTACGTGACGCAGAACAAGAGAAAGATCGAACATTGCTTAAGACCATCATAAAAGTGTGGAAAGAGATGAAATCCCTCCGAGAGTTCCAGAGGTTTACAAATACTCCCTTGAAGCTTGTTTTGAGAAAGTAAGCTTTTATGAAAACTTGTTTTATTGGGCTATATTATACATAGAGAAAAATGTAAAAAGCACAGATGCAATTTAAAGAATAATTATAAAATGAATTATCTTGTGACTAGACCCAAGGTTAAGAACTGGATGGTTTCCAGTGCCTGGGAACCCCGTGCTCCTATCCCCAACTCCGTCTCCATCCATCTAAAATCCTTGCTTTCTTGACTTTATGTGTAGTTTCTCCCTAAGGAGATGGTTTAACACTGCAATTTCCTTTATGTAAGGAAAAGTATGTTCTGTGAGTTCTTCAGGGAACACACACTTGCTTCTTTTGTTCATTATTATGTTTGTGAGATGCTCCTACTTTATGGCGCATTGTTGTTGGTTGTCATTGGTTGGTTACCATTTCATGGAAACACCTTGCACAATGCGATTGGACCTTATGATCCATAGCGTTTTCATTGGCTGACTGTTGTTGTTAGGTGCTGGCAAGTCAGTTCTGACTCATAACGACCCTATGCACAACAGAACCAAACCTTGCCAGATTCTGTACTAGCCTCACAATAGTTATGCTTGAACCTATTGCTACGACCACGGTGTCAGTCCATCTTGTTGGGGGTCTTGCTCTTTTTCACTGGCCCTCCACTTTACCAAGCATGATGTCTTTCTGTAGAGACTGGTCCTTTTTGATGACACATCGAAAGTATGAGGAGAGACAAAGTCTTACCATCATCCCTTCTAAGGAGCACTCTGACTGTACTTCTTCCAACACTGATTTGTTTGTTCTTCTGGTAGTCCATGGTACTTTCAATATTCTTCTCCAACACAACTCAGATGCATAAATTCTTTTAAGATCTTCTGTATTCACTGTCCAACTTCCACATGATTTTGAGATGATAAAAAATACCATGGATTAAGTCAGGCACACCTTAGTCCTCAAACTGATTTTTGCTCTTGAACACTTTAAAGAGATATTTTGCAGCAGATCAACTTACAGCAATATGTCCTTTGATTTCTTGACTGCTGCTTCCATGAACATTGATTATGTATCCAAGCACAATGAAGTCTGACAACTTTGATCTTTTCTCCATTCATCATGATGTTATTGCCTGGTATAGTTGGTGAGGATTTTTGTTTTCTTTACATTGAGATGCAACACATATACTGAAGACTGTAGTCTTTGATCTTCATCAGTAAGTATTTTAAGTCCTCTTTGCTTTTAACAAGGTTGTATCATCTGCAGATCACACGTTGTTAATGAATCTTCCTCCAATTCTGATCCCACATTCTTTGTATAATCTAGTTTCTCAGAATATTTGCTCAGTATACAGATTGAAGAAGTATGGTGAAAGGAACCAACCCTGAGGCACACCTTTCACTGGCTGATAGTTGTAGTTTTTTGTAGGTTTTGCATTATAGTGCTTCATAGGAGCCCTAGTTACAACGTGGTTAGACACTCTGCTGCTAACTGGAAAGTCAGTGGATCGAAACCTCCAGTGGCTCTGCAGGAGAGAAGAGGCAATCTGCTTCTGACAGCCTTGGAAACTCTGTGGCAGTTCTACCGGCCCACTAGGGTCACTGTGAGTCAGAAGTTGATCCAATGGCAGTGGGTTTAGGTTGTTTCTTGTTTTTTTTTGGTATCCCTATACCCAAAACCCAAGCCCACTGTCACCGAGTCACCTCCAACACGTAGTGACCCTATATAGAGTTTCTGAACCTCAGCTTTCTCCCACTGAGTAGCTGGTGGGTTTCATAACTGCTGACTTTGCAGATAAGAACTGCCCAGTTCTACCCTTTGGTTGGTTGATGATGCATGGAGGGGATTGTAACCATGGCAATGAAACGATATACAATAGGATGAATGTAAAACTAATGTTCTCCCATGT